CAATCAAATAATCTCACCTATCCTTTGAGGCATGAGGGGGATCGCCGTTCGGCTTCTTCAATTCCCAGCCTTTCGATGGCGACCGTAGAAACAATGAAGATGAAGACAGCTGCTTCTGCTGACTTGATATAGTAGACAAGCAACTGGAAGCATTCCTCAGCTTCGTCCTCTCGGTCTCATATGGTGGGTACGTGGGATCGTGTCTTACGGCAGATATCCTAAGGGAGTCGGGAAGTATGCAATTACAAACGGAACCTGTAATGTTCATCCTTTATTAAACTTGCAAAATAAATAGTAGGATGATGGAAGCTAGCCAAACAAGAAAATCAGAGACTATAGAACAGGATATGTTAGATGTTAGGTTCTTATAACTAAGGAAAATTGTATTGTAGCTGGAAACTTTTTGGAATCAAATCGATAGAACGAGCATTTAGATGATCGGATTCAGCTGGAAAATCACTTCTAAGAGGGAATGGAACAGAAGAGGTACCTATTTTAGCGAGTCGATTTACCCATTTCGGAATTGATTTCCCAGTCAACTGATGACAGACGTCCTTGCAGAAATGATTACAATTCTTGACGATGAGGTGATATGTATCACCATGGTAGCTCGAAGAGCGTTGCTCCATGAACTCTCTGACTTCATGACGATTGAGGCAGGTCGAGCCAATCAATATTGACCTCCTGAATTTGAAGCCGGGGCATTGTCGAGGTTCAACTTCAAAAACGCCACTGGTTGGATAGTCATGAGCTCCAAATGCATATTCTACCCCATGGACTGCACAATGCATACATTTTACTCTCAGAAAGGAATAAAATGCATTACAAACTTTCTAAATTCAGATCAAAGATGGTCTTGTAAGATAAGTTTGTGACATTACCTTCTACACCAGAGTGAAAGATACCAAGGCCTGCCCAATAGACATAACCATTCATCGGGGTTAAATCGTACACGTTTAGATAGACCGGCATTTTGTCTGGACAATATTTAACCGACTTAGATTTGGAAACTAGAGAAAACGAGGGAGCTGATGATTTTCCTTTAAAACGAGGGACGATGGATTTCCATTTCTTGGATCCAAGCTTCATTTTCATTTTGTTGACAAAGAAAACCTTGAATTCAGCTGATGCCCTTCTGCAACCTGTTATATGGACAGAAGCGAATAAATAACCGATATGGGGATGTCCGAAGACAATGATAGATTCATGATATCATTTTCAGATGGCTGATGAACTTTGGCCTAATATATGAAAATATCTTCACCCCTCAATTTTGGAAAGAGTAAAAACTGTGCAAGTTTCAACTTTATGTGATTACTCTCTATCTTACTCGAGCACCCCGCCATGAATGTGCTAAGACGCTAGCAGAATCTGATGGAATTGCTATAGATAAAATGACAGGAAAGTTGCTGAGTTCATTGTTTTCTAGAAATAGTTCCCCCTCATTTTGTTAGCCTAATTTTGGAAAAAGATTGAATCTGTTCTTCAGTTGATACAAACTTGTAAATAATGATTACTTAACTCTTTAACCTTACAATCTTATCACAATTCCAAATCTAAAAAGATAATGTGTGAGATCTCACATCGATTGGAGCGAGGAACGAGTGCCAATGAGGACGCTGGGTCTCAAAGGGGGTGGATTGTGAGATTCTACATCAGTTGGAGAGGGAAACAAAGCATTTTTTATAAAGGTGTGGAAACCTCTCCCTAGCAGATGCGTTTTAAAAACCTTGAGGGGAAGCCGGAAAGGGAAAGCCTAAAGAAGACAATATCTAATAGCGGTGAGCTTGGGCTAGTACCTAATGATTATAATAAATAATAGTTATTTTCAAAAAAGCCAGATCGTCATTATGACTTCTTCATTCATTTTATACTTTAATTCTTTACTATATAAAGAAGATATGTTAGTTCCCTTACCCCATTACACTAGAGGAGGCTAATAACTTAAACAATTGACAGTGCTTTCATTTCCATATCCAAAATCTAAATAGATCTTACAACCATTACCAAGACATGGAACAAGAACACCTGATCAGCTTAATGCTTTTAGCTCAACACGCAGATCAAGCCAGTTCACATATCCAGTCAACGCAACGTTTTGATCAAAGTTCAAGGAAATCCAAAAAAATATAAATGGATATAGAAAACAAAGTTGTGGTGCATTTACGAACCAGCTAAGTTCTCCCCTTAATTCGATCTTCATAGATTTCTCGAAATATTTTCATACGAAGTTTTGTTATTGCATCTATTGAACAGCCTCAGGTTTAGATGGACAACCCGACAAATACACATCCGACAGGAATTTATTATCAACACTCCTAAAAGCTAAGATTCCCACATTGTTGACACTATCAAAGCAAACATATTGTGCCTCCAGTCCAAAATTTTCAAAATCAAACCGAAATTACATAAAACCTTGAACTAGTACATGAAAATTCCCCAATGGTTATCACTGGAAGGAGACGAGATCCCAATAAAGTAGCAGAACTTGGTTCTTCAAATTAAAGGAGCAATATCATGAAAGATTTCCAACGAGCAAATGTGCCTCGGGAAATCAACAACAAAGCAATCAATCATTAGGCATTTGGTAGAACCGGCAGCACGTTCTTCAATCCAGGAATTGAACGGTTACAGTAAGCAATTCAAGAAGAAAATAATTGTAAAATTGAACTCAGATCTGAATGACAATAACCAAACCAGAAAAGGAAACTCCAAAACGGGAAACCATGATTTCTGCTAGAGCGTTACAGACCCCAATCATTACAAATCAAGATAAGGAACCAAGGGACGATAATACACAGATTCAATAGCAAAAACACAAAAAACAAACAAACAATTCAACATCCACGAGTTCTTATATCTCACAAACCAAGAAAACCCGAAGACTTCAACATCCACAGACATCAAACAAGAAAAGCCAGTTCAGAAACATCGCAAAAAACAACAAAAACGCAAATGGGAGGTGAATCGAACAAGAAAACTCACGGATTCAAGAGGATCCAAGAAAAGGAATCGAAATGACGCAGCAGCCTCGGCGAGAGGGCATTAAAACCAAAAAGGAAACCCAGAAAGATGAAGAAGTGGAAGAATGAAACGCAGAAACAGTGGAGGGGGAAAAGGGAAGGAGAGGGACCAGAAACAAGGCTGAAAATCCTCGTTTGGCCGCCTCTCGCTGTGTGTGTGCGCGTCAAAGGGTTGAAATGGGTGAATTGTGGGAGTGGGAAAGGGAAGAAAGTGGCGAAAAGTAGAGCGGAGATTGAATAATGGCGAAGCTAAGAGCAAGAAGATGATACAGTGGAAGTTCGTGTCATTGTTTTGCCCTTTCCAAACCCTTCTCTCTTCCCACCACGTGCTCTGCTTCTCCTTCTCCTCCTTTTTGGCCATTCATCCATTTCTTCTTTTTCTTTTTCATTCCATTTTTTTTACATTTTTTTTATTTTTAAATCCTATAATTTCTCGATCGTCTCGAGTATCGTATCGCTCGTAGTCACTCGGGACTCGCTTAACTATGCCCCGGCTCAAGTCTCTGTGTCTCTCTTCTTTGCTCACAACTCAAGAAGTTGGTTTCACCGACACAGCATTAGGGTGTAGAAACTTCTCCCTAACACATGCGTTTTAAAAACCGTGAAGCTGACGGCAATATGTAACGTGTTAATATCTACTAACGATGGGTTTTTGACATTTTAGGGTTCGGAGGATAGAAAGATTTTGAACCCTCCCGATTTTTAAAGTAGATGGATTTTTCTTATTATAAATTTCATTAATATTAACACGTAGAATAATATTGTATCTTTATTTTATCTATATCTTATACTGTTGTTGCCACAACACACGAGCTTTCTACAAGCTCGTGAATAAATATAGCAAATGAAATTAACCCGCAAATTATTGTATCAAAACTTTACTCGGGAGAAAAATAAAATAGGGCGAATAAGCTATTTATTATGAATATTTGAATGTGACACATATATATATAATATAAGGTTGAAAGTTTAAAATAATTAATGTAGGAATATTATATACTTTGGAATATATATCCATATCAACCATATATATATATATATATATATCTTTTTAATTTTAAATTTGTATAAATATAATAATTTAGTCCAAAATTTTTGGTTTTTACCGTTTTAATCTTTACACTTTTAAATATTTAATAATTTAGTAGGAAAAATTAGCCTTTATTATTAAAAAAAAACATCATAATTAGAAATTATTTTTTTTATTATTGAATGACTATAAATATATTGAGTCCTAATTAGTTTAATAATTTATATGTGATTAATTCTATTATATCTTATATCTTAACATAATTTTCGTATTGGATAAATTTTGTAATTATTAAATTAATTTAAGATAATAATAGAAGATTTATTAAAAATATAGAAATTAAATTTAGATGGACAAAATTGTATTTTAAATAAATATAAATTAAAAGACAGATTACTTTGAATAAAAAACTGAAAGCTTATCTGAGAAATGTTATATTATAATATATATACGTTTTCATTAATATTTCATTTTCTTTAAATTAGCTCTAAAAATAGCTATAATATAAGCCCACTTAGAATGCTACAAGTGTCTCCCACGTCAGCTGGCCTTAGGCCCAGAAACCGAAACGACGCCACGTACTCTTTCGATGACGTAGCTGAGCAGACCCGCAAGTTAAGGTATACCGCCACGTGGAGGACAATGGACCTACCGTAATAAGTGAAGCTGACCAAACTATCGGAGTGATGGTATTGCCAGCTCAGCACACTGAATACAACGTGGGAATCTGACCAGGCAATGGCCCAGATTGGAACGCTCAATCTTTGTTTCAACAGAGACTGTCTTTGAAGTTGTATTTAATTGAGTGATTCTATCTTAAATATTTGACAAAAATAAGTGAAAATAAAATTAAAATAAAAAAAAACTGGGTTTACTAAAAAAAGAGTTGAATTATAATGACAATTATTTTAAGAATAAAATTCAATAATAATAAGACAAGAAAAGCATAAGTTAATGGAAAAAGGGACATAATATATAATTATTCGACAATATATGAAACAAAATTTAAGAATTATGGTAGTACCACGTGGTAACCCCAGCAGCTAGCTGCATGTCTTCGTTTTCTGTACACCAAAATAAACAACAGCTGTTATACACATTACACAACAGTTGATTTTACGAACCATTACTCCCGCCGCCGCCGCCGCCACCGTAAGGTGCAGCAGCTTCACCAAAGGACGTAAAAAGACCCGAAAAACCGCTGCCGGGGGTTGCGCCGCCCATGCTAAGTCCAAGGAGATCTCGTGTGGCAGGCTCGTTTCCAAATCCAAGTTCCAGCCCAGCCGTCATGGAGGCAAAAGTGGCTTGGCTGGGAGACGGGGATATTGAGAGCCCGGAGCCTCGGAGAAAAGAGGCGGCGTTGGAGGCGGTGACGCCCATTTGGGCAGCCTTCTGTAGTAAAGCGGTGGCGGACATGGCGGCGGGCTGGGGTGATGAGGAGTAATGTGGTGGATGTTCCTGAAAGAGGGATGAGCCCGAGGCTGAGGCTGTGCAGGAGAGGAAGAGAGACATTGAGAGAGAGAGCGATGTGGATTCAATGGCGGTGGTTTGGGGATTATTGACGCCGTCTGACCGGTTGCCGGAGGTGGTGATTTGATGGGGTGGATTTTGGGCACTAATAGGAGGAGAAGCAAATACACCAGCGAAAACGCTTGTACCACCACTGATGCCACAGCCGTTTATGTTGGAGGCGGTGGGTGAGGTTAGGCCTGTGACTGGAGGTGTTAATGGCGGAGGTCCGATGGGATTGTCCGGTGGTTCTGCAACCAGAAAAGTCATACGATAAACAGAACTCCATGCTGCATTGTGTGTGCCTTAACAGTTGAGGGAACATTATGACAGCAATGATTAAGCCTTTTTTCCTAATTAGTATTAGAAAATCTCAAAAGAACAAAACCTTCCCACTAATTAGCCACTAATTAACCACTTTATGATTCAATATTTTATCTAAATTCCTATTATCACTCTGTACTTTTTCCTAATTCATTAGAGTCTAAGTGAGAGAGCTCATCCCTCCTATCCCTAAACTGTGAATCAAAAGTTTTAATGGCTTTTAAACCGACAATCAGCAAAGAGAACAAAATGCAGACAAATTTAATACTCCAAATGAAAAACAGTGAACCACATCAACTCTCTTGATTTTATTTTTATAGTTTCTTCCAAAGACCTTATATCTTATATCAATATGGATAAATTTCTTACCGGTATGGCAGCCCTATAACTTTTTCTAGATCTAGCAATCAAAGAACAAAATAACCGAATGAGAATGGGCATTTAATGTTACCTGAGCTTTGAATCGACAGAGCAGGAGATAGCACGGTGGTAGATGGCGTCAGTGGCGGCGCCGGTGGCGAAGAACCAACTGCCGCTGCCGCGGGGACCATCGCGTTGGAATTCGTGCTTGCGAACACCAAAGCGTCGCAAAAGGCTCGATGCGTGATGAAACTATCTCTCCTTTAAAAAATTAATAAGGTTTAAGAAATAATAAAAGAAGGAAGTGGAAGAGGATTTGAGGAATTTAAGATTTGATGAATTAATTTATACCTAGAAAACAAAGTTCCGCAATCGCATCTATACTCTCTTGTTCCGCAGGTTTTCATATGCGCCTTCCAATCCGATTGAACGGCGTACTTCTTCGAGCACCGCTCGCACTTCCACTTTTTCTCACAGTGCTTTCTGGAGTAGTGCTTTTTGATACCGGTGAGATCGCCGAGTGCCCTAGCCGGATTGTGATGGACACAAGACGCCTCCGGACAGACGTAAACTCGTTTACGAATCTCATTGCTCGTCCGCTGTCGGAGCTTCCAAGGCAAGTTGTGGCCGCGTCGGTGAAGCTGCAAGTTCTGATCTCGCTGGAATCCTTTGTTGCAGATCTCGCACACGAATCGGTTCGTAGCTAGAAGCGATTTCGGCGACAGAGCTATCACCTCCGCCGTAGGATCTGGCATTCCTGGTAGATTCCGCTTCTTCTTCAGCGGAGCCACGGCGTCCATGCTCTCGAGTTCAACTCCTTGCGTGGAAGATGCCGTAAGCGCCGCCGTTGGAGAATTGTTCTCTGCCGATACCATTAGAGGATGATTTGAAGCCCTAATTTAATCGATTCAGAAAACTGTAGTAGGAGATCGAAGTACTAAGAGATGAACAGAGCATTATCTGGTTTGAGTTTTCAAGTTAAAATAAAAATCAACTCGATCGACGGATGTGTGGCCGGAAATTTGTGGTCCTTTCGAGGCGGCGGCCACTTCACAGTTCACACTTGAGAGGAACAAGAGAGAGAGACGGAGGTTGAAGAAAGAGACATAAATTTAAAATTTGTGAGTCACTTTCTTTTTCTTGGGGTCAAGAAATTTTTTTAAAAAAGATTAAAAGCGGCGCACTAACCATGGTTAAAAAATTTCAACTATGGTTGGGCAGGATATGCTCTGGGCCCCACGGGAAGTCTGATCTTTTTGTCTGCTAATTTTTTTCGCCACGTGTCCGGATCTGCGGGTTTATGATTTTTGTCGGGCCGAGTCGGACTACCCCAGCCGGTGCTTGTCGTCTAGTCCAATTATTTAAACACGATTAACAAAAAGACCATTGTACCCCTAATCGGCCACCTATACTCTCCAACGATGAGACATTTTTAGGTTAAATAAGAAATTTCGTATTTTATTATTATTATTATTTATGATTTTGAAGTTCAGAATTACTTCATTATTATTTGATAAAGTTTTTTAAATATTTTAATTTATAAAATTTATAATGCCACGTAGACAATTTGAAACCAATAAATTTAAGATATTTTCATATAATGGCTAGACTATGACTACACCAGCCGTGGAGCATTGAGTGCGACCCTTCAAGAAGAATTGAACCTAGGGTCGACCTAAGCCTCAAACCAAGGCTCATTGAATGAGAGCCTCCACATCAAAGTTTTCAACATTTGAAAACTTCTTGAAGGTTTTCTATTATGTATCGATTATTAAGTTCCTTTTGAATTTTGAAAAGGGTTGCTTTTCCTGCAGGCTTTATACTCGAGCTCTAACACCTGCCACTCAGGTTTGAATGCAACCATGCTAACCTCGACCTGACCACCCTAGCCTTAACCTCCAAGCCAAATTCCAACAACAAAATCAAGTTTTTAATTTTAATTTTATTTTTTTTTTTTTTAACTATAAACAAAAGATTATCAAATGGATGTTAACCAATGTGAAACTACAACTAACACCCTCACAGCACGTGTTCCGGCTGCGGCGGGGTAGTTTCGGTAATAAAAAAACGGTCACGGGGACAATCCGGGGCGAATGATTTGTGAACATTGTACCTTACAGTACAAAAAAAATGGACAAGTGGCTAGCGAGAATCCCGCCACGTGTACAAAAAATACGAAGATTCAGATCTGATAAATAGAGGAGTCAGATTTAAAAGTAGAAAAGGCTACAGATCCAATACTGTAGGTTTGGTTACATGTGATAATAACTCCACGCTCAAAAAGGTAAATAAATATCCCTTTTTGTCTGGATTTGGAAGTGAGGACAGCTACTGAAAATAGACATAACCTATTTTTCAAAAGATAAATAATAATTAATAAAAATTACTATAGGGGCTTTTTCGACATTTCCCTTTTAATGATGCCATTTTTTCTTTTTTGTGTGGGTGAAATGATGTGGCTATGGCTTAACTAATATGAACAATCATGCAAGATTCTCATTTTTAATGGGTGTGGGTTAATTTTTATCTTAAATTCTATACTTTGTTAATTACATTTTTAGCCTTTAGATGTTCTAATATTTTATTTTTTGTTACAAATATATTCAATTATAAAAATAATTTTAATTTTGATTAAAATGTAATTTTATCTCCGGAGGTTCTAAGTTGAAATTAAAGTAAAAAGGTAAAAATTTATTTACGTTGTTATGTTATCGTAAAGATTAATGTTCATTAACCATCGCTAGTAGATATTGTTCACTTTGATTCGCTACGTATCGCTGTCAGCTTTATGGTTTTAAAACACATGTGCGGATGATAAGTTCACATACTTGGAAAAAAAAAAAATATATATATATATATATATATATATATATATATATGAACTCATAATTTTAGTGGTAAATAATTTGGGTGTTTTATATTTATTGGAAATTGTAAATGGAAAAGGTGAAAGATTGGGGTTAATACTTTATAGTAATTTTGGATGTACGAAAATCACAATAACTTTATCCTTTTTTTCTTACAGTTGGGTAATAATTTTCTGGTTGAATGACGTGGCATACACTTTTTTTCTTTCTGTTAGTTTAGTAATAACAATGGTCACGTCCTACATTTTTTACGGTGAGGCGTCGTGATCTTGACACGCTTACGACCAGCCTTAAGAGGAACTAAGCCCCATATATATTTTTCGCCTCGACTTTGTAGCTTCGTCGGACCTTAGGAGAGGTTTGTCTTCGCCAATCGAACATCGCTTGTGCAGAATCTAAACTTATTCGACCACACACACCGCATGCGCATATATGTTTAATCGTCTGCGACACATTCGACTTGCCTCTATACTTGGTCAAGTCATTTGGCTTGACCTTGCCTCTACTTGGGGCCAAGGTTTCTCAATGCACCATGGCCCATATGTCTTAACACCATCTCGAGTCTCGGGGTGTCGTCCGCCATCGTAACTTACTCGGTCATGTCATCGAGAATGGCTCTGCGTGTCGCTCATCTCATCGATACTTCCCAAACATCCATCCATCCGAGTTCTATCGATGCATTAGCCCTCCCCTGTCCATGTCATGTCATTTACGGATACCGTGTCGGATAGCAAGTGTATGTAGCAACCTCCAACACGCAGGCTGGGGAGCAATACTGGCACACACGTACCGCCCGATACTATCCTTAAAAACCCATTTCAAAAGAAATCGCCCGAGACACTCGTCTCGGCACGCTTGCCCACACTGTAACACGTAGCTCACTTAGGTCTCTAAATTTCGAGGATTCCGCTCTTCAATCATTTTCCTTCTTGTTGTTGTATATCTCGTTAATACATATCTTCTCTTTATTTCTCGAGCCAAATAGTAAAACATATTCCACAAACACATCTATCCAAAAAAAAAAAAAAAAAAAAGTGAGTTATAAAAAAAGAGAAAAGGATGAGACTGAGGGATAATCATTGCAATTTTGATCAACTTTTTGAGTTGCTTTTTGATCTTTTTCTTCCTGTTTCCAATAATGCTTATTCATATAGCCAGCCTGTGGGCCTCCCATCCTGCTATTTCACCTCACAATCCTTCACTCTATATGAAAAACTCGACTCGCTCGACTCGGTTTGGTTGCAGTTGCAGTCGTGAGTGAGCGAGTGAGTGAGTGCGTGCATACAGAGAGACCTCGTTTCGGTATAACTTGTCTATAATATTCGTAGACTTCTTTAGACTAGTAGATATTGTCCGCTTTGACCCGTTACGTATCATCGTCAGCCTTGAGTTTTAAAATGCGTTTACTAGGGAGAGGTTTCCACATCCTTAGAAAGAATACTTCGTTCTCCTCTACAACTAATGTGGAATCTCACAATCCACCCCTCATGGGGACCCAACGTACTTGCTGACACACCGCTGATGTCACAATCCACCCCTCTTGGGGACCCAGCGTTCTCGCTGACACACCGCTGATGTCTAGCTCTGATACCATTTGTAACAGCCCAAGTACACTGCTAGCGGATATTGTTCACTTTAGCCCGTTATGTATCGTTGTCAGCCTCATATTTTAAACGTGTCTACTAAGAAGAGATTTCCACACCTTTATAAGGGATGATTCGTTTCCATCTCCAACTTATGTGAGATCTCACAATCTACGCGTCCTTGCTGGCACACCACTCAATGTCTAGTTCTGATACCATTTGTAATAGTTCAAGCCCACAGTTAACTGATATTGTCCAGTTTGGCACGCTACATATCGTCGTCAGCCTTAGGTTTTAAAACGTGGCCATTAGGGAGAGGTTTCCACACCCTTACAAGAAATGCTTCGTTTCCCTTACACACCGATGTGGGATCTCACAATCCACCCATTTTGGGTACCCAGTGTCCTCGCTGGCACATTGCTCAGTATCTAGCTCTGATATCATTCGTAACCGCCCAAGCACACTACTAGCGGATATTGTTCACTAGAGCCCGTTATGTATCGCCGCCAGCCTCATATTTTAAAACATGTCTACTAAGAAGAAATTTCCACACCTTTATAAGGAATGATTCGTTCTCATCTCCAACCAATGTGGGATCTCACAATCTACCCTCCTTGATGACCCAGCGTCCTCGCTGACACACCACTCAGTGTCTGGTTCTGATACTATTTGTAACAGCCTAAGCCTACCGCTAGCAAATATCGTCCGTTTTGGCCCATTACGTATCGCTATCAGCCTCAAGTTTTAAAATGCGTCTATTAGGGAGAGGTTTCTACACCCTTACAAGAAATGCTTTGTTTCCCTCGCCAACCGATGTGGGATCTCACAATCCACCCATTTTGGGTACCTAGCGTCCTCACTAGCACACTGCTCAGTATCTAGCTCCGATACCATTTGTAATAGCCTAAGCCCCCCACTAGCACAAGTGCTACTTTGGCCTCTTATGTATCGTCTGTCAGTCTTATATTTTAAAACGTGTCTACTAAGAAGAGATTTTCACACCTTTATAAGGAATGATTCGTTCCCGTCTCCAACTAATGTGGGATCTCACAATCCACCCCTCTTGGGAACCCAACGTCCTCGTTAGCACACCATTCGGTGTCTAACTATGATACCATTTTGTAACTGCCAAGGGGGACAATAATTTCAAAATGAAACTTGCATTATTTCACTAATTTTTTGTATTATTTTCCTTTGGATCAAACTACAAGACAGAGATATAGATATATTGCACGATCAAACCGTTCATACCGACCAGCAAACGAGCAATCGGGAAAAAGTAAAACGAAAAAAGTAATCAGGATTTAGGAACTTAAAACTCTTTGAAGCAAAGATTACTAGCTGATACCTATTTTTCTTTCAACTGCTTTCATCCACCACCTGATTGTTTGCAAATAGAGGCTCCCGTCGTTTCGGAAATCCCGGAGGTTCTAAAGGCGAGCCTCTGAATTTTAACTCCGAAGCTGCTCGATAATTTGGATCAACTGCAGCTGGTCTTGAGTTATGGTCACTTGTCGTAGCTGGCCTAAACGAACTCGTTGCCCCACCAGGATACCCTGTAGGAGAACCATAACGTCGCGGTGGTCCTCTTAGGCCACCACCACCACCTCTAAGATCCATCATTTCAGTACTTCTCGAAGGAGCGTCAATGAAAGATGCTCTCTCGCTGGATCCAGTTCCGAGTGGAGCTCCGGTAGTCGGTGAAGTTGCAGTAAAAGGGTCATCCGGTCCCCAGGACGTGAGCGCCTCCTTCTTTGCAAAGAAATGCCAAGCTCCAAACAGAAAGAGAATGAAAAAGAGAACAGGGCTTGTCCATAGCATTGTATTGAACTCCCCTTTAAAGATCGGAAGATTCGAGCGATACAATCCGACATATCCGCCCCCAAGTCCAAGAACAACAAGCTTTTCATGGTCACTCGATATTAATGGTATAAACTTTCCTCCAGACTCTGAATCCAAATTCTGATAGTTCAAGAAAGATGACCTGATCTCGTCTAGACCAGCAGAAAATAGATGCCTCGGTGCACCGACTCGAACGTAATGCTGCAACGATACGTTGAAAATATGAACCTTCTCATTGCTGATAACAAGCAAATAGCCCTTGATTGCTTGAAAGATTAGTGGTTTATCAAGCTCGAACTTCCGTTTTGATCTAACCCTGCATTTAAAGTTCAGTATATCTCCCAACAACAAGACATGAATCAAGTCCCCATCTGATGTAAAACCATACGCCTTCGATCGCTCCACGGCATCAAACACGTAATTTCGAGCAAGAGAATGATTCAATCCCTCACATTCCGACTCCCTAAGTTTCATACTTCTCAAATCCAACGAGCCAGCGCCACTTTCGGTCAAGAACAAGAGCCTCTGCTTCAAGAACGCTATTGGCCTACTCATAGGCATGACCGAACCATAAACCGTCCCGTCTTCTCTAAAAACCTTGATTTTCCCCCGAACATCCGAAGACAAAATGTACCTAATCCTCCCAACATAATGCACTTCCAAGATGGAAATTGGCGACTCATCCTCCCCCACAAATTCCACAACATGTTCCATGAAAACCGAATTCAACTCCTCCCCATTCGATCTCTCCCAAATCCGATGCATCAAGATCGCCCCATTCTTATGGCCAGTAACCAAAAGGGTCTCATTCTTATAAACAGACATATACGAAAGCATCGACGTAATCGGCGAATCAGACACTGTACAAAGCTCAACCGCAACATCCCCATTTCTCATAAAGACATAAACTCGCCCTCTCTCGTCTCCTACCGCAACATACTTGCTATGTCCCTCGAAATCCCTAAGCGGCAGGACATTGATACAAGTAGCATCAAAATCCAGCTTCACAGCCGACAAAAAATGGAACCTCTCCGACCAAAATGGACTGTATTTTGTCACTGTAACAGCTCTACCTCCACCCCCATCCTGAATTCCATTATCCAAACCGCCATCTCCGCCGTCACTCAGTCCTTTTCCACCGCCTAAACTACCTACCTCAGTGTTCAATTTCGCGGGAATATCAGATAATCTCATCTCCAATTTAGAAACTACATCGCTAAGGTTTTTCACTAACTCCTCAAGATTTTTCAGTAAAACATGCTGTCTAATTTTAATGGGGACATCAGATTCAGGTTGATTCAGCTCAAGGGAGCTAGAATTGCAGACAAAAACCCTAGAAACACGGGGAATAGCAAAAAAAAATAGAAAATAGGTAAAAAGGAGCTTGCCTTTACGCGGATTCGCCATTGGAGAAGCTGGGAGAAGCTCTTCAATACCTTCCTATTTACAGGGGATTTGAATCTGAGACCACGAGGGTTTCGCCCAAAATTTGAACTGGATTGTCTTTTGATTGGTTCGTTTTTTGCTTCTTATGGACGAATTCGTGAGAAAAGTAATTGCGGATTGAAAAAGATTGTAGTGATAATCGAAATCTCAGATTGAAACTGTACCAAAAGCTTGTGGATTTCGGCGGCGATCTCTGTTGAAATAGTGTTGAAATGTTTGGATCATGTTCTTGTTTCCCGATCATCTCGTTCTTGACGTGACGAAGGGGGGCGGTTTTTACTTTCGTCAAGTTTTGGCCTCCACTACAAGATCCACACGCATAACAATGATTTATTATATTTTTAAATAATTTTATCAATATCCTTTAATTTTTTTATTTTTAAATTTAAATACTTGTACAGTTAATAATACATTTTCCATTTTAAAAATACATATAAAGACCCCCTTAATCCTTATAAAAATAAACGTTTTAAAAGTTATTATCGTTAATATATATATCTTAAAATCGATTGCGTAGAAACTTCTCTTTGATAGACATGTTTTAAAATCGTGAGACTAACGGCAATACACAATAGACCAAAACGGATAGTATCTATTAGGTGGATTTGGATGGTTGCAGTATTAGCCGTAGAAACTTTTTAATTTTTAATTTTTTTTTCCCTTAAGTTTGAAAGGTGGTATAGTACGATCCACTGACGCCATATCTATAAGGCGAAACTCGGGCGATAGGTTGCTCCACAAGGGTATAGTGGCGTGTGCACGTATTCGAACTTACAGCTCTATAACTTCCAAAAATGTTTTAGTATTCATGAAAACACAAATTTAATTACGTGAAAACCCCACGACGACTTCTCGTATTTCTAGAGATTTGTAGATCTACCATTAGCACGCTTCAGATGTGGCGGCGGCACAACTTATATCATTATATCATTATTTTTATTAATATGTTTAAGTCAAGCATGACGTGTGTTTAGATTTGCATGTCAGAGTCATTCAATTAGTCTTGATCAAACTATTTTTATGGAGTGATTCGAATCACGAGTTTAGAAACAAGTTTTCTTTAATTTTGATCATTAAGGTAATCTCTAAATACTAAATTTAACCTTACGAGTTACGACGTTTTGAAAAATCTCCCAGCAAAGAAGAAGAGACAAAATCGGGCCTCCTCGACCTTGCTTGGGTCGGACTCTCAAATCACTGCATGTCATCTGCCTCGAGTTTTGTTAGACGTGTTTTTTTTTTCAAACAAATTTTATCGTGGTTATCAGTTAAAAACTTTATTTTATCTTAATTTTAACAACGAGAAAGATAAATAAAATTTAGTTAATTAAATTTGAAAGAACGACGATCTACCACCTCGACGTTTTATCTAGCATTCCAACGAATTCATATTTAAAAGATAATTTTAAAATATTTATGAAATATATATATATATATATATGATTTAAGCCATTTTCTTTTGACAGGTTGGATATTAACTTATTTTAAAGATATCCACATGTGCAAGCAGAATTAGGAATAGGTTCATAAAACAGGGAATAAGGATATATTTTTTTTGGCCACATCAGTTGCCCGCGTGTCCCATGACATACGTGGCATCATATTCTTTTGACACGTATTATTAAATTATCTTAGAGATAGAGATCATATTTAAGGTATTTTGTTATGGACATGACATTCTTAAACTAATAATTATTATTAATGATATACTGACCAAAGAATTTAAAAGAATTTAAAATTACTATACCAACGAGCTTAACATTTGTCCAGTGGCTCAATTATAGAAACTTCAGAGTATGATTAAACATGTTTTATTTAACTAATTCTCAGCGATTTGTGAACGAAGACAGAACATATTGAAATGACTTGTGTTTATAAGTGGGGATAGACTTCCACTTTTAGAACCATTAAGGGTCGAATTCAAATTCCAAATCTCAGACACAGATGTTACAAATTTAAAAGAAGAAGAATACGAGATATATATATATATATATATGAGTCAGCCCGCGTTTTTTCGAAGAATCCTGCATCCATGGGTATAACTCTGGCAGGCCTTCCCTTTCCGCCGGAGCTTCATGGGCGTTGCCCCATTCCCAATCAGATGTTTGGATGTGAACTATACTCCGTGAGGAGCCAAATGGGCGTATGGCCTTGCCATTTGACCTCTCTTCCCGTGTGGTTAGGAATGTTCGATGACAACCTCTCAATTGTCACCGCCTGGCCTCTCTTGCTACCATGGTAGCCCCTAGTGTGGTCAACACCAATCGTGTTCAGGTCACGAAGCTTACACTCATTCACATTGGTTCATATATGGTGTGTGTATATATATATATATATATTAAATGTATTAAAAAATAAATAGATGTTTTACAATATTAACCATTTAATTAAAAATAAAATTTAAATAATTAAGTTAAACTATATCAATAAAAAAAAATTATGGTTGATTATCGGTCAACAAAATCAACGGTCAAATTTGAAATAACGGGTTTTCAAGGACGGGCCAGATCTGCGCAACGGGACACTATAAAAAGGAGGTTTCGCTCTTGTTTTTTTTTTTTTTTTGCTAGTTTAACTCTCCTCGATTTCCCGCCAGACGAATTGGCGCGAAACTGAAGGCTCTCTAGTATTTCTTCTCTCTTCACTGAACTAACCCTAGATCTCTCTCCCGCCATTTTCTTCCGCTGGTCTGTCCTGCTAGATCTGCTTCCGCTTCCGTTGTTTCTCAGCTCCACCGCCGGCGATTCAGATAGTTCTATCACTGGTCAGTTAATCTCTGCTTTTACTTCTCTCGTACTGTTGATTGGATAGCAGGAGGTCGATTCCGTTTCAGATCTGCGAAAATTTCCTTTTATTTCATCTTCAGCTGAATTAGTTTTTTTTAGTGTGTTTATCGATTTATTTTATTTGTTTATTTTGGGATCTAGGGTTTTTGATGAGTTGTTGATAACGTTCGCTATTCTCATATCTTGCTAAATTTTAGACTTTTTGGATGTTCGGAATATGTTTCTCTGAAGTCTACGATTGTAGTTCTCTAATGTGCATGGTTAAGTTGGCGCTGTTTATTTTAGTGAAAAAGAGGGTTTCCTATCCAAAAGAACTATTCAACTGGTCGAGTAATGTTAATGTATAGATCTGAATTTGACAATTTTATTTTTAAAGTATAAAGTAAATTATGAATATGTATTGTGGAGGATTTACTTGAGGTGGTCGATAGTTTTATGAACAAGGATTTTTCTTTAACAGACTGCTTGGTGATTTTCACAAATGTGTCAATTCTTTTGTCCATCAATAATCTGATATTGTGCAATGAGGCCAAAAGGTTTTCATCTACATTGGACTCGATTGTTCCAATGTTTGTTTTTTCTTCTTTATTTTATCATTCCGGAGAAGTTTTATTGGAAATTCCATTGAATCAGAAAATCGGTAGGATTTGAGCGGTGGACCTAAGTTCTTTGACCCTCAATTTTCTCTTCTTTGTTTGTAATCGTGCTGTCTTGATGAATTTATTGCTACCATTACTTAATTAGTGTTTTTCTCTGCAGGAGACGCCTTATCTTGGCTCAAGAAGGAGAAGAAATATACTTATCCAATGGAGTTAAGAAGTTTCAGTCATTTTCATCATATCCATGCCATTAAAGGGGGTATGATGCCTAAAGTTCTAAACATCAACCGTGGAAAGCCTGCAATGGTATTTAAGAAGCTTACTGACATATATGAATCTATATATGACAAAGCTCAAGAATCACTCCCAACACGATGGTCAAGAGAAGGTTTAGAAGGAAATATTCGTGATGGATGTGAATCGAAGATGCAAACCCAAGTTCTTTATGCAGAAAGAAAACTATTCAATGATGAGCCTGAAGTTTCTGATTCTGACCGTGAAGGTGATAGTGATACTGAAGTACAAAAGAGTGATGTAGAAGCTGATAGCATGACTATAAAGCAGATGATGGAAAGCTGCAAGAAAAGAAAGCTGAGGCAGTCAAATTTTGTTGACTCAAGCAAGGAAAAGCCGAGAACATGCTCCAGACGAGAACTAAATCATTCATGCTTGTTATCAGATGAGGATGATAGTGATCTTGATGTTGCTCTTAGCATCTGGCAATCCAAACTTTCAAAACGCAAAAAATTGAAAACCAAATGTGACGAAAGCAAAATATCTACTAGCTCACTGCAAGGCCAAACAATTGAAAATTCTGATCCAATCAATATTGATCAGGATCTCCTTCCATCTAGTTCAGACCTAGCCATCCCAGTGGACATTAAAGTTGAAACTCCTGAAACTGACGTGACAGAAATCCAAAACACAAACTGCATTACGGTTGAGTTGTCTCTACTCTGTGATGAAAATGTAAACTCGTGTCTGAGTTCTGGGCCTATTGGAACCGATGAATTATTTTTTGGTCTAGAGTTGACAGCATCTGAGAAAGAACCTGAATATGGTGTTCTAAACTATGTATCTCTTGAAAATGTGGAATGTGATGAATCCAGACCTCTTCAGATGGTAGGGGAATCTAGCACTGAGTGCGTGAGTGAAGATAACCTGGAGGTACACAAACCCCAACATTCAGATTTTCCTGCATCAGAGACTATGGAGGGACAATGTACCCCAAGTTTTGTATCCAATGATAGCATATCAGAAGCTATTTCCCTGGCTGAGGAGCAGTGCTTTGGCATTCATATTTCACAAGCTAAATCCATTACACACGAGGTCATATGTCAGAAAAATAGTGAAGATATGTCAGCAATTTCCATGACCGGGGAACAGTTCTCTGACACTCATATTTCAGAAGGTAAACCCTTTACAGATGAGGTCATATGTCCTACTAATGGTGTAATCTTCACGTATTTGAATGGAATGGCTGATCTGAATAGCCTCCAACTCCCAGAGATGAGTCTTGGAGCTGAAGTACGTTTAACCGAGAATAGGTATAAAGACAGGTTGGCATTTGATAATGAAAAAGGTATTCCAACGGAATCTACCAGTGATTGTAACTTAAGCTCTGAACATGGGGGAAGTATTTCATCAAAATCTACCAGCGATTGTAACTTAAGCCCTGATCATGGAGAGAGTGTTTCAACAAATTCTATCAGTGATCGTAACTTAATTCCTGATCAGCATTTGATATCTATTGACGAATGTCCAGCTAAGGAGAAACAACCACAAATGTCTGATTGTTCTGATCCAGAAAGAAATACTTCACCAGATTTTCATCTCAATGGTTCTACGGATAAATTCAATCAAATTGAAGAACCTCAACGTCATCCAACAAGGCTGCAATCAACGAGAACAGTAAGTTAAATCTTATTTTTGTAATATTTGGTTTAAATTATGCGGAGGATGTTTATATAATTGTGCTTTCATTTTCAGACCATTTCTCCAACATCTCAGGAAAGATTGTCCAAGGCTATGAAGTCTATGCAGTTACAAGATAAAGAATGCAAAAGTAAGTTCTGAAGTTAAACATTAGTTATTAGGGGACGTGGTTTGGAATTCCCATATTAAGCCCTTTTTTTACAATAATTTTTAAAAAGGTTGTTTTCAATGACTTAATATGCAAGCTAAAAACCCCATATCAAACAGAATGCAAAAACATTTTCTTGACAAAAAAATGCCAAATTTAGCACAGGGACTTAAAAGGGGAAGTACTCTGGTAAAACTATGAACTACTTAAAAGCTTTGCAAGTCTCTTCTCTCACCCCTTCAACACATGTTTTACTGGGGAATATTGGCATTAATTCGTGGAAAAAAATTGTGGGTTCATTTGATAAATTTTATGTTTACTTAATTCTTTTGTTCTATAGTTTACTTCTATAAGCATATTTGAAATCCTAGTGAAATTCAAAGGATACAATTATGACAATTGGAGCAGTTTTTTCAATTTTCCTTTCTATTTTCCTCATTGTCTTCTCTTCTCATTTTAGCATGCGGTGGCAAACCATATTTCAAACAAATTAAGTACAAGGTTGGCACAGCTGAAGGGTGTGACCCGATGAAGAGAGTGTATTCCGATACATATCACGAGCAAAATACAAGGAAATCAAAGAAGAGAAGTCTTCACTCAACAAGCACCACTAAAGCTTCTCACGCTCATGCCAGCATGAGAAGCTCTACTGTCCAGAGTTGTTCAGAGAGCGCCATTGCATTCACAGAAAGACAGATGCAGGACATAGAGTGTCTTGCTCTGAAGCTTACAACTCAGTTAAAGTCAATGAAAGCAATTGTAGAAGACAGAATTCACGTTGAAGGCAACAAAGCTACAAGTTACAAGTTTAACACGGATGAGGTAACTAAATATATGTGTGAACATAACTTGATTATTATTACCTTATTGCACATGTTTCCTTCCTATTTTGAACTTAAACTCTCGCTTAATCAGTCAGCTTCATCGGCGAATATAAAACCTTCCTGTTCCCTTGCACTTTTCATGTACAAACCCATTTTGTATAATAATTGAACATGATCTTTGGAGAATCTTGATTGCTAGTTGCATTTGGCATCAATTACCATATAGGAACGTGTTTCATTAAGCTTTTAATCCTTTCCCTACTTTCCCTAACTGTTTGTTGCATGGGATGTATGATGTTAGTTTCCATCCTGCACGCCAAGTGTTTAACCTAATCCTGTTCAATAGAATTACACTTCTCTGAGGTTTTCGCCGGGCAGTCAATCCTGTTCAATAGAATTTCCATCCCATTACCTTAATTGGGTGCTGCTTATGTCCGTTGAGGACATTGGTCATTCCTGTATTAACTTGTAGAGAACTTGGCCTCATGTAATACAACATTATGCAGAATGAATATAGCAATTATTTGATAGTTATAAAGTTTGCACATTTTATTAAGACGTTTTTGCTGTTCTCTCATATACTGTTCTGTATTTCGACAGGTGAGAACAGCCATTGCTGATGCAACGAAAGCGGAAGCAAGTGCAAAGAAATGGCTTTCCATAATGTCGAGGGACTGTAACCGATTTTGTAAAATAATGGTACGTTCTTCACCATAATCTTGCAACATAAAGTGAAAGAAAACATCCATTAGAGCATTATTTTGCTTCCCCTAACTGTCAAACAATGAACTGCAGAAAACAAGTGGGCATGGTTCAAATGCTTCTCCAACTTCAGCTCAGAAGTTGAAGAGGAAGATTACATTTGCTGATGAAGCTGGTGGAGAGCTTTGTGAAGTTAGGTTGTTCGAGGACGACATGAACGCCGAATCTTCCGTGGAGACCAGTCCCGAAAAAGTACGAATCAGTTGAGTAAATTGGAAAAGCCTATTGAATAATTGCTTTCTAGTAAGATTTTACTTGTAAATTCTCATGTACCATGTAGTTGTTCCTTGGAAGAAATAACTTATTGTTCATTTTTCCTCAGATCAAAACAAAATGATTCTGAAATTTGTAGAAAATGATATGAACGCGGTTGATGCTGCAGTGAATCTGTGAATGTTTTAAGAGTGTCGTTTTCTTTGTTGCTCGTTGCAAATCTAAATCTGGGGGTCTGAGTTCATTGTAATGTGAATCAACCAATTTTGTTTTGTGTGCTTTTTAAAATGGGTTAATTTGTACAAAATACTTTAAAAACGGAGTAGGTTTGAATTATGGTTCTATACCTCTCAGGTCAACGTCAGAATTTGTCTTTTTGCCTAAATAACAATACCATAAACTTTTTAAAAGTTTAGATAATATTTTTTTTAAAAAAAGTTCTTAAAAAACTCTAAAAAAAAAAAAAAATAATATTATGGTTAGTTTTAGTGGTAACTTGTTAAAAAAAACATCTTTCAATTTTTAATAATATTTCAAAAATACTTATTTTATAAAGGTTTCATTAATTAATATATATATTCTAAAAAATACTTTTAAACTTTTAATAGTATTTAAAAAATACTTATAAATTTTACCGAAGTTTGATTAATATCTTTCAACTTTTGTAAAAAAATCTTAATGTCAATATCTTAACAAAGGTGGTTTATCAATATCTTATAGATTATCTATAAATTTTTTAATATTACTTTTAAAAGTTCATAAGTATTTTTGAAATGTCAATCCTCTTTAAAAAAGTACCAACGTAGTAATAAAACATTTGAAAATTATTATTTTTGAAACCTTTTAAAAAATTTAGGGTATTTTTTAGACATTTTAAAGTTACCTTTTACCTTTTCTAAGTTTAATTGTCTTGGATGACCATAAAACATAACTTGTTTTAAAAACGTTAAAGAAATTTTAAATTATCATTCATCTAAAATTTGTAACAATACAGGAACAATTAAAGTTTTATTCTTCTAGATGTGGTATTAATTACAACTTCGAGTATTAATTTGAACTTAACTTTATGCACATTTCCTCGAAGTTAAAAAATCATACCAAACCTTAAAAATGTCATCCAACAATATGGTGCAACTCAACTTCCTCGTTTGTAGGAAAGAATTGTAGACATCAGTCAACAGATGAATACATGGAGCAAACTATAGATGAAAATACATTTGAAAAAAGGGATACTCCCATTGCTAAATCTTTGAATCAACGGCGCAGATTTTGATTCTGCAAAGGCTCCACCGCCATCCCCAACCAACTTGGGTCCCTTTTGCAGAGGAAGCTCTGTACATGGCGTCGGTCCCATTCACATTGACTCACCCATTCATAAATTCCCAATAAAAAGGGTCTTTCAATTTCATCTTCCAATTCCCATTTGCATTACGCCAACACCCTCCATTAATTTCTCACTCTACTGTTCACCCAACACTCAAAACCCCACAAACCCCAAAATGAAATCCGAGCTTTCACCGACAATGGCGGCTCCGAACAAGGAGACCCCATGTTTCCTATCTAGAAAGGCTCGCTACAAGTTCTGGGCCTTGGCCGCCATTCTTCTCCTCGCCTTCTGGTCCATGTTCACCGGCTCCGTCTCACTCAAATGGTCCGCCGCAACCTTCGCCAAACTCTACGACGGCCCCCGCAAGCCGATCTTTGATGATCTTGATATTTTGGTGATCTTTTTAGCCGTTTTCCTTTGTGGGTTTTTGTTTTTACTGTTGTTTGTGGTGTTTTAGGGCTTTGTTTTTTTGCTGATTACTAGGAAGTTGAAGAGCGGGAGAGGGTTGTCCGCCATATGTGGAATCTGTACACCCACGGCGGCGGCGGCGGCCGGTTGCCTAGATTTTGGTCGGAGGCTTTTGAAGCGGCGTACGAGGAATTGATCGGTGATGTTCCTGCTGTTCGTGATGTTGCACTTTTGGAGATCGCTAGAATGTCTCTGCGATCTCTTCAAGTCGACCCAATTCCGACCAAATCCAAGGTTAGCCATTGTTTCACCTTAAAATCCCCGAGATTAAAAATGTTCTTGAATTGGTTTTTGAGAACATAGGTCTTGAAGTGATTCTTAGTTAGTTCGTCAACTCGAAAGATAAAAATTTAAGAAATGGGTTTTAGAGATCGAGATTTGCAGCAAGATCAGTATTTTGTGTTTTTTTTTTGGTCGAGTCAAATCATTGTGAGGTGGGATCGAATATCGATCGTTCTTCGAGATCTTCGAGATCGAACATCGACCTTTAAAATAATAATTAGAATAATATCCACTTGGGTTGTGATTTGCAGAGTGAAAACAGATTGAAAAGCTCAAAACAAAGGCAATTGGGTGAGTAGCTGCGGCGCTGAGCTAAGTTGGTCGCCGTGGGGGTGTGCTCCATTTGGGAGGATCCTTGAATCTATGTGGTTAAAGCTGTATGCTATGTTAAAAAAACAATGGAATATACAAAATTTACCATACCAATCCAATGTCAATGGTTATCTCTTTTGCTTTGTATATTCACTTAGTTATGAAGGTGGCGCCTACGCTTTTTGGCCACATGCAACCATTTGTCACATAGCTTTGAATTCTGAGAACAATTTGTCGTACTAGAGCTTTCAGATCTTGTGTTTTGGGCAGTTTATGGCAGGATAATACGAACATATTCAACCTATTCATACTCGGAAGTGAAAGTGAAGAATATATGCCAAATATTGCTGACCAAAGTAATAAAGTTGAGTACTACATTCGAGAGATTCATTCTCATTGGTTCGTTTTGATTGTTATATCCAATGGTACTGACAGAGAAGAAAGTAAAACTTTGGTTAATGATAGAATCAAGACAGTTTTATAATCTCCAAGAAAGTTGTGCACAATCATATACCTAAGTGCTCTTGATCGATTTTGCTATGCCACAAGCTAGGCCCCGATGAAGAGCCAAAAGGTCGAAAGTTACTAATTCCCCATGATTGGTTTCGTAGATCAATTGGTTGAAGTAACCGTACGGATAGATTAACTGAACAAGACCAGCTCGAATCATCGAAATGTCTTGACTACAAAAACACCTCCTACTAAGCAAGGGCTCAGGCTCTTACACAACATATCACACGACCTTTCTTTGTATCTACTAATGGGCAATTTGGTTGTTCGGTTCAAATCAAGGCTCCTACACAACCAACACTATCAAATATAGCCTTTTTTTTCTAAGTGCCAGTGGAGGACATCTAATACAATGCACAATAGGATTTAAAAAGGGTCATCATCAAGCATTATCAGTCTATTAGTGGTGCACCATAACTACAAAATGGCATTCATGAGGCAGGCAAAGGCGTTGAGAGGCTGGCCAGTAAAATTCAAGCTAGCAACGGCTTGTTAGTCTAAAATAGTCATCAGCCATATCAGAAATCAAACTATGCACAAGACGTTCAATAATTAAACTTTCATTCCTCAACAATTGAACGTACCGGGTGGCGGTGCTGCTGCGCTCGACGTCTTCGTAGTCCAAGGGTCTTGAGGCCAATAATGCATTAGCTTAAACTTTACTGTGAAATGCCAAAGAATCCCATCTCCAGAAAAAAGAACAAAGTAAAACGCAAGAATAAATTACCTTGGTTAGGTTAAATCCAGCTCAAAAAATGTTTTGACAGACCGAATAACAAACCTAGGAAGACGAACAATTAATTGTCAAAATCGTCGAGCAGACAGACCAAATAGTCACTGCTGCTGCATCACTGTGGTGTTTTTCTGTGGGGAGGGTGGATAGAGGTACAAAAATATCCATTTACAGAAAGTTAGATGTCATGTATTTACATTTACCATCAGAGCCTCTTTCTTGCTATCCTAATCTTCAACGGTCTGAATCTCACCCATCATAATTCGATTACTAACTACATTGAAACCCAAAACTGATGGACTTACCTTCTTCCCTTTCTTTCCTTTTTTCTTTCCTCCTCCCTTCGCAGACCCATCACCGCCCACGGGGGCATCCGGGTCCAGATTTCGACCAGCATGGCCAGAATTCACTTCTCGGGCAGCTACTGCAAATACCTTCCTATCGTTCTGACTTTGAAATGCAATTTCAAGAACATCTGCTGGGAGCAACTCCTTGTAATTGAGGAATTGATCGATGAACTCATGGTCGGGATCATAAGATCCAAGGTTCTCTATCAAAAGCAGCTCTGCCTCAGATCTTGATTGCTTCAAGCAGAATTCCAGGAAACTTGTGTCTAGAACGGGCAAAAAGTTGATACTCCATTAATAAAAGATAGCAAAACAATTCTTAATTACGAGCAAAAGAACAATAACATAAAGACAATTTTCATTTTTGCCTAAACATAAAGCATGGACAATTTTTTTAAAGAAAGAATGAAGTCATAGAAACAATGAAGGCGTTTATTAAAAAGGAGAAACAACAAAGGTATGTTAAACTATAGATTATGGAAACATTTCCAGATTTTTATATATTCAAGTATTTTCGTGCTCAGAAGTTTTCAATTATGATTAATACATGCATTTAATATATATAAGAAAAATGATGGACAAAAAGAAAGTTTGAAAAGCTGAAAAAGGCAGGAAAATGTTACTAGTGATGCAAACATTTACTACAAAGATTTATAGGAAAACCGTAAAGTTGTTTCCCAATGATTAAGCGATCTTCTAGTAGAAAAAACGACAATAAAATTCACAAGAAAAATGTCCTTTCGACAAGACAGGGAAAGATACCTTTAGTCCCAAGGAGCCTTCCACATTCACGCTCACACCAATCGCAGAAGTCCATAGCTTCTACAAGGTGAGGATTTTTTTTTTTTTTGATTATTATACATGCCCAAAGAAGTTTGTGAGAAAAAGTAATGAAAAAAAAGAACACAAACCCTGGGAAAAGACGACCACAACCCATCAAGAACTGACCTGAATGCTTGGTAACTGTGTCTTGTTTGCCTTTCTGAGACGACTGTGCAGGCAAGGGTGAAAGATAATCAGCTTTGCCACTAGATGATTTTTGTCGACTTAACAACCCAGTTGAAGCTGTGTCGGCTCTGCCACTAGATGATTTTTGTCGGCTTAACAACCCAGTTGAAGCTGCTGCTGCTGCTGCTTTTGCAGGAGTGTTTCTATTTCCCCAGCTTCCATGGCTCCCAAGATGGACATCAACCCTGAAACAGAAAAATGATTTTATTTCATTCGAATTCAGGATTATAGTGCAACACCGACGGAATAGAAATCTACAATGTTGTCAAGTATACATAAAAGTTAAAACCCTGACCCAGATGAGGTGGGCAACAAAAAGAGAGGAGTTCAAATTCAACAAAGGAGTACGAGATTCAAAGAGCGCCACTAATAGGTCATAGTAGCATTGACACTGATAAAAAAAAGTAAAGCTGGATAAGGAAAAAACTCATACTGCTGATTTTCTTGCTTCGACTCAATGGGCCCCCAAAATAGGTCATCATCACCTCCATACTTTGACTGAGAAGGAGTGTTCTGAAGGGGGGATGATGCAGCCTTCGATGGGGAAGAAGCAGAAAGAGCGCGGGAAGGAGTACTACTGCTACTGCTACGACCAACCTGAGTTGGCTGAGCCTTTTGCGGAGTGGGGATTTGATGTGAATGCTGAGCAGCAGGGATTTTTCTTTCCTGCTCCTTCTGAATATCCCTCAAAGATGTGGGTTTGGGGAACTTACCAGAGTCACTAGACCATGCTGGTGCAGGGGCCACACTCGCAGCTTCTCCCTTCCATAGAACAAAATCACCAAAAGAAGGCCCCGAAGGAATGGCAGGCATTGCATCCTTCTCCTGCTGTGTCTGGCGGGAGATTTTCACTTTCTCAATGGGACTTGAACCAACAGGCACATCAGCAGAAGGGACTGAAGAGGAGGCCTTTATACCAACGCCCTTGGCCTTGGCAGATTTTTTACGGCTCTTTTTGGTGTCTTTTGCCTCAATAAAATTGTCATCCATAGGTTCTGCTTGTGTGGCCACAACCTGAGGAGAAGAAGCAATCTGAATCGAGTCAGAAACGCGAACAACACCTGCACCAGACTTCTCCATATCATCTTCCGCCAGTAGATCATGCAATTGACTCTTTCTACTCCTCAAGTTCAATAAATTTTCATGTTTCTCAATTGGTTCAGAATTCATAGAATCTTTATGAGTTTCTCTGGAAGCTTTTGGGTCCAAATTGCTCACAACCCCAGCCCAAGGAGTTGATAAACTCATAGAATTTATAGCAGTTGAAATCTCTGACACAGCAGGTTCTATATGTTCCCTTTTCTGCTCTTCCTCCTGAATTTCCAATAACGACTTCGCCTTGAAACTCGTAGCAACTTTCCAAGCTCTTTGACTAGATTGAATTTGTGAGTTAAGCCCAGAGTCAGAGCCAATTAGTCTGGTGTCATACTTCACTCGATCAGTTTCACTATCATTCCAAGCAGAGGCTGGTTGACTATCCACATGGGAAATTTTGGCATCCCCATCCCTGGTCTTCTGAGGAGAGGATGACGTATCACTTGATTTTACCACAAGATTATCTTCCTTCAATTTCAAATCATTTTCTGGTTTACCATTTTTTGGTTGCTTTGACTGTTGAATAGCAGAATTCTTAGAGTACTTGGCCTGGTCAGAGGAAAGCAACTTTGAAGATTTTTGCTTCTTGGTCTTCTTATCAGAAGATTTTCTAGGTTCTTGCGCTTCAACATTTTTCAATTCCGTCTCCACAGGGGTATCATCTTTGCATACATTCCTATCAAGCTTCTCCACAGGCGTACTAGCATCCTCAACCTTCACAACGGGTACACTAATGGGAACAGGAATTTCAATATCGCGAACTTCGGCTGGTGGTCTAGCAACTGAGACTTCATCATTTTTTGGAGGAAGAGGTTCTACAGAAACATCAGATGCAATAGATGTGACAGTTGCGTCCACCCTTGGTACATCCTCTGATATCTGCTCCAAAGCTTTAACAGCATCGCTGTCAGATGAAGTTGGTACAAGATTCACATCCTCGTTTGATTTAGATCCTGGTAACATATCTTTTGGATGAATATCATTAAGCTGCTCCGGAAGAGCAGCATTCCAACTCTTTTGCTGAACAACATTTCCAAACATTTGGTGTGGAACAACAAGGGACGGATCTTCCGAATTAACATTGTAACTTGCTCCCTGGGTAACTTGCAGAGCTATATTCCCGAAGGTAGTTGCACGATCAGTTAGTACATTTGGTGGCTTCTGCAAACCAATCTGTAACTGCTCTCGTGATAGCTGAACTTGAGATGGATCAATAGATGCATTTCCAATAGATATTGGAGCGCCCTGTAATTGTCCAAAAGCTGGATCGCCAAAATGCTGACGTGACTGATGCTCTGATAGAACATGGGAGAGCAACTGCTGTTGCTGTAATAACTGTTGTTGCTCTTCTTGTTTTTGCTGCTGCTTAAGTAGTAAAAGTTTGTCCAACAACGACATTTGTTGTGCAGAGAAAGGCACTTGAGACTGCAACTGCAACAGATGCTGTTGTTGCAATTTACTTATCAGTTGTGGATCTTGAGATAAGCTAGAAGGAAGAAACTTATCTGGAGTTGAGGTAGGATTATCAGTAGCCTGAGCCAATA